TTTATAGACAGCATAGCAGAGGTTTAGATGAAAAATGTCCCAGATATCAGCATTGCAGTGACAACCAGGCATCAAATACATGTCTGGGCTACAGATTCACAATAAAAGAAAGTTCCCTACCCCTCTCTTTTTCTCTACTCTAGAGAAACCCTTAGATGATAGCAATTGATGGTATTTGTATCTTGTAATACATGTGCCCAGCATTCTGCTACATGCTTTCTATATGGTATCACAGTTATTCACACTTGAAGGCAAATAGCAAAATGTAATAGGTTAAGAAAACTAAGGCTCAAAGAAACTAAATCACTCACGAAAGATAACAGTCAATGGTAGCTTTGGATGGAAAACCCTCCATCATTTAATTCAAAAATCTCTCTCTTTTACACCATATGAAATATCCTTAATTATATTTCACTTTCTGTCCAAGCAGGCAAACCCCTTACTATTCATCGGGATGTGAAATGGCTTGTGGACGTTTTAAGGGGCCAGAGGTGAACCAGGCAGGTAGCTGACAGTGGAAGACAGCAGGGCTTTGCTGACTCGCTGCTCCAGGCGTGGACATTAGAAACCCTGATACCAGTGGACTAGCAGTCAGGATGGCGGCCCCCTGGAGGCATATTCTGCGCTTACGCTTACTCACTTCTTTTTTAAACCATCTTTTCTAAGTTTTAGCCAAGAACTGAAACAGAAATTGTCCAAACGTTCACTTCTATACAGTGAAGCTGATAAACATTTTGGCATCTCCTCAAAAACTGCCTTTCTAGCCAGGTGTGGTGGTGCACACCCGATGCCCCAGCAGCCTGGGATGCTGAGGCAGGAGGATCAAGTGTTCAAAGCCAGTCTCAGCAAAAGCAAGGTGTTAAACAATTCAGTGAGACCATGTCTCTAACTAAAATACAAAATAAGGCTTGGGATGTGGCTCAGTGGCTGAGAGCCCCTGAGTTCAATCACTGGTACCCCTTGCCCCTGGCAAAAAAAAAAAAAACAAAAAACAAAACAGCTTTTCTGTTGGCATATTAATAACAATATGCAGGAATTTTTCCACCTTGGTGAAACCTGAGAACACTGCTCTATACACACAGTAGTAAGCTGATTATGAAATCAACCCTAACCATTTATACATTGAGTCATCCAAAACTAAATAAAAAGTAGGAAGGTCTTCCTGCATGCTTCCAACTAAGCTCTCAAAATGGTGATGCTGGGAGGTCTGCTTACTGCCCTGGACTGACAAGGGTGACCTTTGGTTTAATAGACCCACTCAGTTCAAGTTTTGACTACATTTCTGCTCCAGAAGCTATTCTGGGAGGTTCAGCCCAGGAGTAACCTGCAGGCAGGCACTAACTGCAGGCCAAGCCACAGCTGGGATTCTTTTGCACTTCATCCCAGTCCTGAGGTTATCCTACACTGACTGAGCACAAGCTTCTCAAGGACAGGTTAAAACTGTCATTGGAGAGACTCAGGGGGCACAGTGGCTCCTTACTTCTATAGCTTCCAGGCACTGGTGTCAGAGCCATGAAAAGATTACCAGTGTGGCCCTGTCACCAGTCATCTCTTGTTCTTTGTGCCAGAAAGGACCCTGTTTACCTGATTCATCTAGGAAAATCTTACTTGAGCTTCCCCTCATCTTACCCTTACTGAATCCACTGGCATTTGCCTCTAAAGAGGGTGGCAGTTAATTCAAATTCCTACCTCGTGGGACTCACAGGCAACAGGTGGGCAGGAGGTTCCTGTTTAAAACCCTGTAAGGGAACTATTTGGCACCACCTAATACTCAGGTCCAGTTGGCTGAGTGGAATTTGCTTTATAATCTAGCAGAAACACCTCCATTGCCAAGAGATTTAATTAGCTTTGTGTGTTTTTAATAACAAGTAATATGGTATTGGAATGTTAATTGTAGCCTTGTTTATAGTGGCAAAAAAAAACCCCAACCCAAATGTTCATGAAAGGGAACAATTAAATAATTCTATAATACTTAATACCATGGGATAAAAAGAAATGAGATGGAAAGTAGCCTTCTATATTCTGACTTGGAAAGATGTTTAAAATATGTTTTTAACTTACAAAGGGAAACAGAATATCTATCACATAAAAACAGCAAATCACACAAAAACAGCCTTCCAAATTAATTTTATATACTTTCTCTTGGCATAGTTATTCACCGGCAAATGCTAAAAAAGTGTTTGGAAGCATGAATACCAAATAAATAGTTGTGGGAATGGGGCTAGGATTGGGTAATGATCCAAGCAGACTTTTTAACACCTAAAACATATCTATACAATTCTTTTGTAAATAAATATTTTTAATAGAAAGGTAGCAGCATTGTAGTGACTACAATATTACATGCTGAATCTGTTCTTATGAAATATTGCTGAATCAACACACAGCCAAGGGACATCTGAGGTGATATGCTGCGCTGACATTAGGAAAGACAGAGAGCTATTTTTCAGTTTCACTTACATTTTTCCACTTGACAACTCTAGAGCTGGCTACAAACACTGCACATGGGAATTTGATGTTGTGAGGTCTTATAAGATGACTCAGGCCCTTGTCCCAAGTGAAGGTCTTCCAGTTCCCCATGCAAAATGAGTGACTCATGTGATATACTGATCAGTGAGTTTATTACTGACACCTCTCCCTCCAACTGACCCCTATAGGACCCTAATCCAGTGGTTACTCCTCCACCTATGAGCACCATTCTTAGAAGTGCAGGTCATACCTACTGATGCCTAGAACTTATCACATGTTTTGTTTTCACATAAGCTCTTAGGCTGATGTTTTTGTGCAAAATGTTTGAATGGAATGTACAAACCCTGTGGATAGCAACCTAATAAAAATCACCTGGGGTCAGAAGCTATCTTTAATGCTCATTGATAAGAACATAACCCTGAGGGTGCAGGTTGTACTGCAGGGGACTATGTTCTGATTTTGACTATTGAAAATAAACAATTGCATTGATACACATTTATGTAACCCGGACACTTATCACCAAATCAACGGAAACTGTAATTTTTCAAGGGCACAGGCAATAAATGCTTCTGAATAGGAAATTGTAACTTAATCATTTGATGTTTCATTTTATATAAGTCAGTATATTCAGGACTTATACAATCTCAATAAATTGAAAAGTAAGAGGTCACTCCATCTTATTCCTGTGATTGCATCAGATCTGGAACAACTGTGACCTATTGAGCTTCAGATTCCTCTCATTAACACCAAAGAGAGAATAATACAATGTCTCAGACTGATTTGAGTTGGTGGTGGAAATAAGCAATTCTTAAATTACCTTTAGGGATCCCCAGTGCTCTTTACAATGTCCAAACATGCTGGTACATGCAAATAATCAAATATTTTTGTCTTTGCCTTCCTTCTCCATTAAGTTTAATTAAATAATCAGCCCTTTTTATTTGTTCTCCAAGGTACTAGATGCTATAGACCTCTCTGACCTATTACATTTTCCTCATATTTTGTGCTTTTATTTAAATGAATCATAGTTTATTCCTTCATCCAAAGGTATTCCTTCATCCAAATGAATCCCTAACATCAGAAATAGGAATAGTCAAAGTCCATTTCTGCATCTTTTACTCCTTTAGAATAATAATTTATAAAATTTGGTTTATATTATAAAAATATTTAATATTTTAAAACTTAAAATCTTAAAAAAAATTTAATAAAGAAGTACATAAATGAAAATTTCACTTCCTGCAGTGGATTCTGTATCCTGCAGCTGGCATTAGAAATGAAAAGAAACTTGGACAAATAGACCTAGATTATTGTTAAGATCTTAATTCCTCTTCTTTCTCTTTTCTTTCCCTCCCATCTCCTTCCCTTCCCTTTTCTTCCTATCATTTTAACCTTTTTATATGAGAATTTGGAAATAGGCACAAAAGAGAGAAAATAGTACAATGATCAGTACTGTACTCATTTACTCATCTTCAAAAGTTTTCAATATGTATACTTCTTATCCAAGCACAAAACACAGACATTATACATCTTTAAAAGAAAAGACTTATTTTCCTTATCCTAACCAAAATGCCTTTATCACAGCTAAATATAGAACTCCTTTAAATCACTGGTGATAGTTAATTCAATGTCAAACTGACTGGGCTACAGGTGCCCAGATATTTAGTTCAACATTGTTTTGGGTGTTTCCGTGAGGATGTCTTTAGATGAGATTAACATTTGTATAGGTAGACAAGCAGACTGCCCTCCCTGATGTGAGTAGACCTAAACTAATCATGTGAAGGTCTGAAGAGAACAGAAAGTCTGACAGTTTGATAGTCTCCCCCACACCCACCCCAGGTAAGAGACAATTCCTATGACTGATGTCCCAGAATGTGGGACACTGGCTATTTCCTAGTCTATGGATTCCAACCTAAATGTTGCTTCTTTCTGGGTCTCAAGCTTCTTGGCCTTTGGACAGGAACTCTACCACTGGCTTTCTGAGTCAGACTGGAACTAAGCCATCAGCTTTTCTGGGTCTCCAGATTGCTGATTCATCCTGCAGATCCTGAAACTGTCCTGTTTCCAATTCACATGAGGCAATTCCTTACTATAGACAGAAAGCAAAGCACACTCCTGTTAAAACTTGTAAGTTGAAAAGTTAATGAGCTCCCATTTTGACTCAGGCTTCCACATCTACAAAACAAAAAGCACATTTAAAAAAAAAAATCATCTATTTGGCCTTCCTCATGCAGATGGAGTGAGTATAAAAGGTAACCTCACATGAGTAAAGAGCTGATAAAGTATCAAAGAGTGAAGAAATGTCTATGTAAATAGCATCATCATCTTCTTCCTCCAAGGAAACCTTCCTCCTTTGTGTATTTGAAACCAGAGTCTTAGCCCCAGATACAAAGTGCACTATCAATGCCAACCTGTGCTGTCTTATTAAAATGAAGCACATGCATTACACAGTCTTGGATCACAAGTAATTCTGTCAGTTGAACACGTGCTCAAAAGCCGAAAAGATTGACCCCCTCAAGGTCACTGCCTCCGAAACTCACCCAGTACTATTGAGGTAGCTCTGTCCAATGCTGCAGTCCTTTGAGAGAGAGGATGGATTGAACCAAAATGCTGGCAGGCACTGCCCATTGCTGTGTCTCTCATAGCCATAGTCACTGTGGGGTAAAGAGCCAAGACAAACCTTTCAGTAGGTGGAAAATGACGCAGAACAATTCCATGTTAGTCCACAGCCACCTTCTACCCCAGTTAGTCAAAAGGATGTATTCCCTAAATCAATAGCTTAAAAATGGAACTTGCCTCCCATAGACTATCTATCAACAATCCATGAAAACCTCCTGCAGAATCGATAATTCCATTTAAGCACCTTTAAGTTAAAATTGTGGGTTATGTTCTCATTAGAAAGAAACACTGAATGTAATTAGAAACCAGGCAGTGGTGGAAGCTGGAGCCCTAGAAACTACTCCTCCATAGAGTTTAATACAGCCACATGTGGCACAGGCCTCATTACCGGTGATGTCTTTGGGATGCTCTTCCAAGACATCTGGATTTACCGACTAAAGCAGAGCCAGGTTTCCCTGTGCACAAACCATATGTTTTAAAGTCATGGCCAAAAAAAAAAAAAAAAAATGTCCTTCAGAAGTGTCTAGAGCATCCCCTTAGGAAAAGTTTTGTCCCAGGTAGTAATTGCTGCCAGTTGGGATTAACAGCTCTATAGCTTCTCTTTGGTTTGGAAACTGTCTGTCTTCTCTCCCAGTCCTCTCTGCTTGCTTCCAGGGGCCTCTGAGTGGCCTGATATTCTTGGCTTCTGGGAGATGAAACCAGGCACAGAGGATGACAACAAATTGCACCTCTGCATGCACAGACAAATTGCAGGCAGCAATCAGCAAGCATTAGTAGGAATTGGCCCATCTGTGTAATGGAGGTGAGATGCTGGCACATGAGGGGTGGGAAGGAAGACATCGGCTGAGCTCAGGGGCCTGTCTCCAGGCAGCTGGTACTTAGAATTCTGCACATACCAGCTAGATTTGGTGCTGGTTCAACACAGCATGGGTAGTAAGACTTCAGAATCGCTGCCTCCAGGACACCCAGTGCTCACTTCAGGGAATTACATTAAAAATGCTGGAGCACGCCTGGCAAGGTCACCTGGGGCAATGTCCAGGGAGCCAAGCTAAAAAGGAACATTCAGTAACAACACTTTTCATTACACTGCAGTCAGGTGGAATCACTGAAACCCCAGCCACCAGTAAAAGCCCAACAACGTCATGGTGAGCCTTCCAAAATATTTTCACAAATCATGCAGTTCCCCCAAATCCCATCTGACCAGAAAAACCTTACAATGGCCTTGTTTATGATTAATTTTCTTCTTGTCTGAATGCAGTTCAGCTGGTGAGATGATGACAGATCCCCATCACAAATGAATGCAAGGATAGGGCCAAGGAATAGGGAAGGAGAGAAGCCTGGTTGCTTTCCGTATCCTGGGTTTCCTCCACTCAATTGAACATGAAGAACAGGAACAACATGCTGGTTTATTTTGGAACCTTGCAGAAAATAAACCTAAAGAAATGTCTCCAGGAGAAACGAGGGAATTGGGGATTCTCTTCTTACTTATCCTCTTAAATTTTCTACCAGAGAATAAATTTGCTCTCCGAAAACAAATGACTGTTACATAAGGCCAAAGCTAAGCTGGTAGTGTAACATGCTAACTTCCTCTGCAAATCCTTGAATAAAGTGCATGATGGGAAAGAGGTTGTGATGACTGACTGAAAAACCCATGGTAAGATTTCTTATAAATATATTTCAGGATGTCAGTGCCAAAGTGCAGGACAGGTATTTTTATTTTTGTCACTTTATTAGTGTAATGTTGCACTGACTACAACAGAAGTCATTGTTGGGAAGGCTCCTGTGGAAGTCCTTGTGAGCTAAAGTCATTGCAGCTCTGTTGCCTTGGCTGACCCCAAAGAGACACAGCACTGGCTCTTTTATTTATTTATTTATTTATTATTATTTATTTTTTGGTTCCAGAGATTGAACTCAGGAAGCCTAACCACTGAGCCACATCCTCAGCCATATATTACACACACACACACACACACACACACACACATATATATATATATATATATTTTTTTTATTAGAGACAGGGTCTCACTGAGTTGCTTAGGGCTTCACTAAGTTTCTGAAGCTGGCTTTGAACTCACAATCCCCCTGCCTCAGCCTCTGGAGTCGCTGGGATCACAGGTGTGCACCACTGTGTCCAGCTGACTTGCCTTATCCATCAATAAAGGGGATAGCTACGGGTGGTTGTTAGTCCACTGGAGCCCAGTTTTGTCAGGCCTTCCCAGTACTACTCATTCAGAGAACATCTCCAGTGTCCTACTGTTAGAGAAGGCAAAATTCTTCTAAAATATTTTATAAACACACACACACACACACACACACACAATGTCTCAGTTTGATCACTGATATTTTGATGATCAGGTGTTTGACCTGTGATGGTTACACAGTTAGAAATAAATTGTTAAAGACCTGGATAAAGCTCTTATCCAGGTCACATTTCAATTGTTCAACATCTACATACCTATTTAGTGATTGTTTTCTCTAAAGTAAAAAATACACACACACACACACATGCATAACTATATACAACAGAAATACAGAAGAGGAAAATAAATAACATAAAATGTGATAGAGATAATTACAAATGGAACAATCATTTACCATTAATAATTTGTCAACCTTACCTGACCACTAAACATTGACTAAGAATGAAGTGAAGGTACTCATCTTTGGTCCCATAAGCAAAGTTTCTGCTTAGCAAATGTTCCAGCAAGAATTCTATGGCACTCTGAGTTTCATTTAAACCACTCAAAGTCTCAGTACTTCTCCAGTTTTAACCAGCTTCTTTACCACTTCAAAAATTCATAATGCTATCAAATCCATCCTTACAATGAGTTCACAAATGTCTTCCACATCTCTATTAGCTGTACTCAGCTGACCACTGATTGAAAATTTTCAGAGACAGAGAATTTACTGCCTTATAAGACCATCATTTCCTACTGAAAACCCTGGATTCCAGAAAGAATTTATCTAGACCTTATCTTCGTACCCTGCAAAGTCCAATTATTGTTTTCAGAGTTGCTGTCCAAAGTAACATAGGATAGATCTAGCTTCTCTTTTTGACCAAAGTATCCATCAACTCTATGAAGATAATTACCAACTATCTTCTTAATCCTCTTTAAATCTAAAGAAATGCCTGGTTTTGTCATCATGTAGGCACATAGCTAGTAACCATGATGTCCCCAAGAGATAATCTTATAAGAATCTGAGGTTTGCCATGAGCCCTACATATGTCACTACTATTTCCAATCTAAACTCTCTTCAAGGGCCACGTGTATTTGAAATATAGAATGACTCCATGGAATAATGGTGCCAGCTCACCAGTCAAAATCAGCTTCTGTGCAAACACAAGGTTCAGATTCCATAGCTCCTGCGTATTTTCCTTGCATACACTTCCGCTCGGATTTTCGCTTCTTGTATATCCTCTTGGCTCCCATGATGCATGCTTCCCCCTGTGAGCAGACAACCATCACACACAGCTGGGCACATAGCTTGTATGTTTCCTGTTCCACATTAGGGAAGGTTAGGGAGATATTCACAAACCTCAGTGTAACGCAGATTCTGGTGTGGTACTTTTGTGCTAACCGCATTTTGTTTTTGATGTCTATCATAATATGTGACTATAAAGATAATACTAAGAAGTACTGGAATTTATCTAATAAATCCCTAACTTTTCATGTGTTTAACAAACTGGTACTGGGGGAGGGTTACATCTTAGTGCTACAGAGGACACACAGATAATTAAGACAGATTATAACTAGTTGGCAAACCAGTAGTAATTAAGTTCAATTCTCCTCTAACAAAAGATTTATACAGTTGGTCATTTATGAGCATGCGAAATACGAGTGTTGCTAAGAAATGTAAAGAACCATTTTGTCCCGATTTATTATGCTTCTGCCCACACATCTTTATAGCACTGATTTTATGTTCATCTACCAAACAAGAGAGCTAAATTCAGTGTTTTCCATGAAATAAATAAAAGCTTTGAATATCACAATGCTTATGCATCCCAAAGGGGAAAATAGCAGCAATGTAAGTGAGCGATAATTTTATTGTTGAGCCTCTGAATAGGGAGGGTGTTTCTAGCTAATGCAGCGCCCACTGTCAAACATAGCTTCTTTTGTGCTTCTGAACAACGAGAGCAGAATTGTGTTTAATTGGTTCTAGTCTGTCTTTCCTGAGGCTCCATTACACATCTTCATGCAAATGCATTCCTTAGTCCAGGTTTGGAGCCTACCATGTTTCACTGCCTGAACAAAGTGATGGCTTTGCAATAAGAGCTTCCACTAGATCCCCAGAGAGGCCTGTAGAAATGGTTCCCGCCATAGAAAATTAAAGGGACATTTTCATCCAAGCCTTTTGATGTGAGCTGAATAACTAAGAGGCCAGGATGTAGGAAAGTTTCCTATTCATAATTCTGTATTCTTATACTTTGAGTACCTTAGAAGGAGGCAAGAAGTACTATGTATTCCCAGGGAATCCAGGAAATGGACAGGAAGGGTTTTTCTGGAACTGCTTAGGGAGAATTAGTTTGTTATTTTATGCTTTGCCTCTGTCTGAATTGGTAGATAAAGTGGAAGATCTTTTCCTCACCCTGCCCCCACTGTATGACATGCTCAGATAAATTATGTTTGAATCTCAGTGCTGAGTTGGTATTTCATTTTGAGTTGTAAGTCTAAGCCAAGCACATTTGAATTTTATCTCATTATATTCTAGCATAATAAAACAGAAATAACTTCACAACAAGATATAAATGTTGAGTTTGTTCAATGCTGTGTCATGCAAAATATGTAAGAAAGAACGAAAGGAAGAAATGGGCATTTTGGCCTAGAGATCTCCAGTTTCTAAGTCTGAAGGATGAGCTTTCCTTGAGCACCTCTCATGCCCCCTGCCCAGGGCTCAGTCTCAGCTGTCTTCCCCTTACCTGGCTGTGTAGCTGCCAAGGCCTGTAGTCCTCCTCGGCACACCGTCTGTCGAAAATGGACTTGTAGTCCACTTTAACCAGCTGCCATTCAGAGCGGTGGCTGAAGTGTCCAAACACTCTACAGGGTTCATGATGATAAAAGTAAACACGGTAATCACAATGGCAACAGTATTAACAAGAGCTTGCATTTGTTGTGTTAACTCTGAACCTGGTGTTCATAGGGGTGTCATGTGTTATGCCAGGAACATTATATGGGTCAAAGCTTTTAATTCTCCAAATACATTTATGAAGAGGATTCCATTATGGGCTCCTCATTGAAGATGGATAACTTGAGGCTCAAAGAGGTTCCTCCATACCAAATTCAAGCCACTAATCAGGGGTACAGATGGATCTCAGAGTATTTAACTTCAGAGCCCACTTGAATATGTTGTACCACGACAATAATTGACAAAAAGGACAGAGAAAACAGTCATAAGAAGTGCATTCTAGGTGGTCCAAGATTATACTTGAAAATTCTAGAGCTAATATACCCGTTTTTCTTTTTTTTTTTTTTTTTGGTTTCCATGCTATTTGGTGTTTCCACCAGTCCCTAGGGAAGTAGATACCATAGCCAAATGGTAATGACGTGCTTCTACATTGAACATTCTACTCGCCCTACTCAGAGAATCAGGTGTTTAATGCAGTGATTGAATCAACAATGATACATGTAGATAAAAGCCACAAAGTGGATTTTTAGATAAGCTTTTTAAAATTTATGTTCTGCAAATATAAAAACTGAATAAAAGCAAATTAGGGAATAAATTGCTAATCTAGCTATGTTTCCCATGAGCAAAAGCATATTAAATTTTTCTTGATGTTTTCTATCATTGAAAAAAGTGCAGTATGGGGTTAGAAAACAAGCCAATTATTTACTTCGATTTTGAAATTTTCAATGATGACAAGATCAACTACTTTGAAACCTTCCTTTTCTGTTTTTCCATGGCCAATTTTCTAGGGGAAGGAAATATCACAGTTTCGTATTCCAAGTTCAAAGCCCATATTTTGAAACCCATAGGCAGCCGACTCATTAATCAAGTCTTTCACAAATTAATGATCATCACTTTTCAGACAAGAATGAGTGTAAATGCAATTTCACAAGAACAGATTGTTCTCATGGTTTTCCTAATATGCCTCACAATTGGGTTAGGTAAAGAGCCAGAGAAAAATAAAATCCCTTGTGGGGTTTTGATCAAATGCTGTGTTCTGACTGAAATAGAAATTATACTTAGACGCCTGAGATTTTCTGCATATACACTCTGCTTATATTAAAATTTTAAATGCATAGTTTTATTTGCTCTTGAAATAATTCCTTCTAATTTCCCTAACTCATTGAATATAGAAAGAAAAGAGCTTTTCTCTTCTGCTACCACCCCCAGTCTGAGTCTCCTCAAACCTACCAGAGCCAAGAAAATGATTGCCCACATTTTTTGCTCCTTTTTGCTAGGGACTCCTGTAGCAGGGGGCACTGACTGTGATAACAACTTCAAACCTAACAGCAGCAAATCAAAGCAGACTCAGCTATAAAACATCTTTCTGGATTTACTCTCCTATATTAAGGCTGAACCATACCATAGCTTTCCACTTACGTCATAATTAGTGTTTCTTCTCCAGGTTCACCCAGAACCCCATCCACAAAAAGTGGAATAGAAGTGAAACTGTATTTACTCCAAGATCTCCCTTCATCAAAACTCAACCTAGTGATAGAGGAAAACAATAGTCAAGGATCTCAAGAGAAAATATAAAAAGTCCTTTCTAAGAAAATATACTATCAACCAAGAAAGGCTGCATTTTTAAAGGCAGCTCGGGCATTGTCAAAATGAGCCCTCCTTCCGTCTGATTAGGTCTTCTTCATTATATCAAAGGGCACAAATACAGGTAGCCAAACCAGTGGGACTCATGCATTAAGATCCCAATAAGGGAGAATTGTGTAAAATGGGAATCATAAGAGTCTCTGGCTGATTTTTTTAACTTAGATATTACATTAGTCTTTAGACCTCAGTGTGACCCTCTCCAAATCCTCACTGGTATCTAGCAGCATGTGATCCTTAAGATGGATTTCAACAGACCTATCTCTAAATGGCAAATTCCAAAAGGTGGCAGGTTTTACATTGTTGTAAATCTTAGCTCCCCTCATTGAATTAATGGATGAGAACAGAAGGATGGGCCCTTGAGAATGAGAGTGGAGAAATGTGCCCCTCTGAGGGTTACCATTATGGTCTGAATGTTTGTGCCCTCACATATGTTGGTAGTATTAGGAGGTGGATGCTCTGGGAGATGATCAGATCATAAGGGCAGAGCTCTCATGAACAGGGTTAAAGACTTATAAGGGCCTCAATAATTGTTTTGCTCATTTCACCAGGTGATAGCACAGCAAGAAGGCACCATTTGGGAACCAGAAAGCAGAGTCCTCACCAGGCACTGAATCTGTCAGTGCCTCCTTGATCTTGGACTTTCAGACTCCAGAACTGAGAGCTATTAATTTCTGTTCTTTATGAGTGAACTAGTTTCTGGCATTTTGTTACAGGAGATTTTCTTTTGCTCTCCTTCTCTGTGGATTTCTGTTCCCCAGGCTAACTAAGCCTTGTTTTTTCTTCTGCAGCCTTCTCTTTAGTCATCAAAGTAACAACTTAGAGGGAAAACCAGGCTTTTGATTTCGAACAAGCTCACATGTGAGACAGTCACTTTCAAACACAGAGGAAGAAGCCGACTAGAAACCCCTCTGGAAGGTAGACCTTGCACATCCACCAGGGGACAACATACAGGCAAAGGGGCAGAATGTCACCTCAAAAAAGGAAGTTCCGGAAGCTTCACGGGAGAAACAGATAGGAGTATGACCATCATAAACGGCTAATCTCTGTGCAGAATGTACATAACACATTCTGTATTTGAGGAGATGTTATTTAGGACATAACACCAAGTTTAACTACTCAGAGACTGAGTAGTAGTGAACATCCTCCTACCTGTGATTGCAATGAGAGAAAAAGGTACTGGTGATAGGTTTTGACAGTCACATTTGAAAATTCTTCTTTTCAGAACAAAAATCACCCCCGCTTTTACATTTCTACCTTCCCCCTGCCAAAACTGCAGGCAACAATCTTCTTTTAGAGGAGCAAAGGTATAGATTAAACTCAAGCTCATCTTGACACTTTACTAAGCACAGTCACAGTGTGATAGCCTGATTCCCAGGCCAGTCCTATAGTGCAGAACCAGCAGGTGCATGTCCCCCAGGCAGCAGGTGCCCTTACCAAAGATGTCGAATTGGAAGAGAAGTGTGTTTCATGGCCACCAGGACTCCACCTTGATCTAGGTACAAAACACTGTGCTCTTCTTCAAAGATCTAGATGAGGAAAATGAACACACATGGACATACGTCCACACACACCCACTGTACAGAGAATTAGTTTTCAAATGAGAGCAAAAATCCCTCCCAGGACAAAAATAGATCTCCCTAAATTTAGCGGGGGAATTGAGTTAAACAATGCTTCCCAACTTAGGCTACATGTACCATTGGCGTTATGTAAAATGATATTTAGGTATGAAGAAAATGAATTTAAAAACATCTAGTACGTGTTTGTGTTAATATTCTCTTATCATTAGGGTAATATCCGTTTATTTTCATTTTTGATGATGTCAGAATATCAGGAAACGGCATATATATCTCTAGATGGATGGAATCTTAAAGACTGTTTTCTTCAATAGTTTCATTTTTACAGATTAAAAGATTAAGGTTTAGACAAATGTAGTGACTTGCCAAAGACCATGCAGACAGTCCCTGATGGGAACTGGGACTTGCTGTGTTATGGTACCCTGTTCTATCTAATTTTCCAACATTCCAAGTGTTACCAAAGAAAGGTACTCTTGTTTAATTCACAAAAGTTCCGCCAAGTTGCAAGTAGTTCTGATCAAAATGAAATTGTCACCTTGGGGACATGTGCTATTGAGACTTTCTCAAAATATGAAGCAAATAATTTGAAGTCAAATGGCAACATGAAGCAACATCTCTAAATCCTCTCTACCAGACGTGTGCTATACTTGTAGTCAGATTGCTACAAGAGCCTTGTCTGATGATATACACAAACAGATTCTTTTGTTCCCCTTGTTTCTTTCTTATACCCAAGACACACACCAGGACCATAGAAGTAGAGATTTCCATGGCTTGTTTAGGGTGTTGGGAGGAAGAAAATGGAATACTGCATCTCTCTTTTCCAGAGGAAGCTTCTTCCTTAAAGAGTCTATGTTTCTGCGTAGTTCTAAGATTTGTTACTCTGAGGTTTCTTATGCAATTTTTTTCCCTGCCATGCTTTTCTTAAAATTTGAGAATCCCACAGATTTTCTTCAAATGTTTGAAGGTAATAAGTGGCAACTGGACCATCATGTAGATTTTTTTTTTCTAAAATTCAAAGTAGAGTGCTCTCATTGCCAAGTGTGATTACCTGTGCATTAGATTTTAATTTACAGTACTAGTTATTGTATGATAATTAAACGTCAGTGAGTTATTAAAACATATTTATTGAAGTGTAACAACCATGCATTAGGCTCATATCTTGTTATGATTGCTAAACCTCATTAACTGCCTGGTTTATAAGCCATGGATATCTAATTTTCATTCAGAAGAAAGGCAGGAAGCATTTAAGCTAAACACATTGGTTTAAAGTGATTCCATTTCTACTTTATCTAACATATGCATCCTGATGGTTATTACTCTGTCTTTTGCACATGAGATTTAAGCATCTCAAAACACCACCTGGGTAATAGCCATTTCTATATCATTGCATTCTTCTCTGTTCTGGCTTTAAGGCAAAGGGAATTTATGGTGGCAACTTGGAATTAGATATACAATCAACCCTTTAAGTTCCAAGTTCCTATTTGATAAATCCACAGGGATTCTGTTTTTTCTTTTATGGGAAAAATTCCATCAGATCTAATTTAAAAAAAATGTTCACTTATAAATGTTTTTACATCCAGGCCCTAATTAAGAATTATCTTTACTAAATAACAAAAGAAATGAAATTGCACAAAAATTTGCTAAATTCAAAAGATTTGTTTGAGATTTTTTTTTAATTTATTTTTTAGTTGTAGTTGGACAAAACACCTTTATTTCACTTACTTATTTTTATGTGGTACTGAGGATCAAACCCAGGGTCTCGCACATGCGAGGTGAGCGCTCTACCGCTGAGCCACAACCCCAGCCTGAGACTTTTATTTAAAAAAAAAAAAAAAAAAACACGTAGTATGTTTTAGGATTCATGTGTAGCATGTACCACTGCTAAATAAGTTCCTAGACTTGAACCAAATTGAACAATTTTTATGCTATTTAAACTTCGGCAATACAACCCAGGGTCTTTTCTTACCTGCCTCCAAGTGTTCCCTGCATCTGAAGAGACAAACATACTGATGTCGCTGTCTGACAGTTCAGAACCTATATTACCTAGAAAGAGCACATCACCATTAGTGAAAAGAACTTTCCACAAAAACTAACAATGGCCTAGATCAGCAGTCTGCATGGCCTGAGAAGGATTTTGACTGGAAGCATTTTGTCCAAGCAGGGGTTTTCAACATACTTGCTTCAGGGTTAATGGTTTAGGTGCCTTTGAAAATATTTCTAGCCTTCTCATTAAATTCCAACCACGGATATCTAGCTTCTTAAAATCAGCACCATCTACAGCAGCAAGCAAAGGAGACAAGCTTCTTACCTGAAGCAACTATGATGCTTGGAGCTGTGTCTCTGCTGGCAATGATTCCTGATGTGTAGGGATTCTCAGAGACTTTCAGGTGAAGGTGTAGTGAGCAATAGGGCTACACAGGGAAGAAATGAGAGTCATAACAGCACAAAAGCTAATGGTCACCTAAAGCACCAATTCAGAGCATTCATGCATCCATCTATCTGTCCATCACATCACCCCATCTATCTTTCCCCATCCCTGTGTCCTCTTACCACCCATTCGTCCACCCAATTACCACCTTGCATTCCACAAATATCTAGTGTCTACTAAGTGTAAGACAATTGCCAAGTTTGCAAGAATAGAAAGCTCCTTCACTGTAGGTGTAATTTGCTGATGTAAGTGCCAATTTGGTAATTTGATGAGTATTTAAGTACCATATACATAAAACTCTAGAGGAAGTTTATGACAGGGTTGCAAAGCCTCATTTTTGGTCATTTGAGAGTTTACAATTCAAGTAGAAAACATGAGATCTTTCTATTTATTACTATAAAGAGAGAGAATATTTTAACAGCCATAAGATAAATACAGACAACACATTATATGAGATTCTAGAAAGTGAGGAGGTACAGTCCAACTTTGGATTGGGCAGGGGGAGTTCCTAGGAGAAAATGGTGGATGAGTAGGCTTTGAACTGTGGGCAAGATGTTCAGACATTGGGAACATCAATAACAAAGAAGCAGAAGAGTTGCAGGGTATAGCCAGTACGATTAAGAGGAGAAATGGAATCTGAAGCCAGAAAAGGTTGAGTCAGGCCAGGAGAACTTTGAAAAAGTCAGCTGGCCTCTTTTAATCATTCTTCAGTTGAAATCCCAGTCTTAGTTGGGAAAAGACTGTGTGACATGTACCCCTGTCTTAGCATTCTCCAAACAACAGACACAGTGTCTCTATTAAAATTCCAAAGTTGGCCTGCACCCCCTTACCTTTTAGAATCCATTTTATTCAATACAGTAGTCATACTTGTAGACAAAATGCAGTAGTAACAAAAATTTAAATGAAAATATGAGGGGTTTGTTTATCTATGTCTGAAAACCTTGATCAAGTTCCCTGATTAAGATATCAACAGCTTTCCAAAAAAAGGGAAAAGAGGATAATAAATCTTCTATGAATTTTGTTTAAAATAGTCCTTGTACTGAGTTGTCAAAAAATACAAGTTTGTGTTTGAACCCATATTTTTTTTTCATCTCCCAGGAAGATTACTTTCTAATCTTATCGACTTGAGTCTTTGGAATCACCCATGTATCTCTGTTATTACTTTTATTCTGCTCTGTAAGTCTCAGTCAACAGATATTCAGAGGACTACAGAGATACAATGATTAAATTTATATAGAATAGAGTAAATGATGAGCTAAAAATGAAACTCAGGAATAAAAGTAACCAAAATACTAGCAAAATAAAACTGCAGATAGTACGAGAGTGCTTTCCTCACTGTCAACACAGAAAGTAAAACTCCCAAGAAACAATCGATTGGTTTTGTATGAAAATTGCATGTAAAAGTTTCAAACAACATTTCACTTTATAATGCTCTGTAAAAGTAAGAAAGATAGCCCCTCTAAAAAGAAACACCAGAGTCATGTATCTGGCATCCTTTTGTCCAAGAGGAAGACTAGAATAGATACTGCTAAATGCTGTAGATGTCTCAGGTCAGTATTGCCCAATGCTGAGCAAACATTAAGACAGGATAGAGTGGGGACATTAATCATATTCTCCGTGAACATTTTCCTGACAACTGCAGCTTATCAGAAAGAGCCTCCCCTTCTCTGATAAACTACAATTTATTTTATGATGCACAATCCTGAGTAACCTATTTCAGGTATGGTACAGTTTCATCTCCTAAAGAGATACTCTACAAATGAAGAGAGCACGTCAACTGCTTCTTTGCATCTTCTGTGGAATTGTGCATAGAATCCAATTAAAAAGATGAATCAATAAAAGGATGTAATATCAAGTACTGCATTTTTTTATTGGGGCACAAAAGACATTGATTAACTATTCTACTCAGAACAATGCCAGAGGTACATGGAATTGATCACAAATCATACAATCTGAGTAATGTGACCATCTCCATGGCATCCCAAGAAGCATACTGGAGTTGGGCATCATAACTAGACATCTAGGCTTAATGCAAAGCCTGCTGCACCTTCTAAGAGTGTAGAAAATTCCTGCATTGGGGAATACCCAGCTTGCAATCCTGAGCCAGCTGCTGCCACAGCTGGAAGACTGTGAAGCTCAGTTGCCACTTGAGCCAAGGATTAGTTGGTGTGGGAAACTCGCCATTACAAAGGAAACAGGACGTTTTCAATTGGCTGGCTGTTCACTGCTCTGTTACTATGGTGTTCAGCGGACCAAGACATATTGATTGGAGAGGAAAAGACACCAGTTTGCATAGTAGCAGCAACATTAGAAATGATCTTTTTGGTGTATATTTTCTCCACTCTCACATTTGTAGTACTGGATTGCCCCCAGCTGGTACATGGAGAATATTCTGTGGTTTTCTTTTTCCCCCTTTCTTTCATATTATTTTTCAAAGCATTTACATAGTCTACCCAAATATGTGAAGAAAAACAATGTTAAGTGATTCATTGTCACTTTTTAATTTAAACTTCTGTACCTGCTTTGGACATCTGTCAAAAAGTTAAAAGTCACCAAAGTTAAAACTAATTGAGAGATTTTATTATAATGACGATCAAGTGACTCCAAGTTCCTGCAGGACACAAGACCAGGCTCTGGGATTCCTATGAACAGTTTACCATGCAGAGACACTTTCCCCAACAGCAACCGCCGCCCCCCCCCCCCCAGTTCTAAGGATTAAACCTAGGCTTGCACAGAAGATAGACAAGGTCTCTGCCACTGAGCTACATCCCCAGCTATTTTTAAATTTTATTTTGAGACAATAGTCTCACTAAATTGCCCAGGATGGTCTTGAACTTGCAATCATCCTGCCACAGACTGCAGGGTAGATGGGATTACATGTGCAGGCCACCATGTCCTGCTCTTTCCTGCCTTCTTTTATCAAGTTAGCAAGCAGGCCCTGTACACCTACCTACCCTATGCTAATGGTCACAGATGTTGCTTCTATATTTCCAGGGTTGTCTCAAATGCAACAGAGTCAAAGCACAGCTTGCTCCAAGAGCAGTTCTCTGTATCTCTTCTATTTCCACATTTAAAAAAATAAAATGAAAGAGAGATCAATAGAGCAGAGAAAAGGGATGAGAGAGGGGGTATAGAGGAGGAAATACCAGAAATAGTGGGAAATGATATTGTCCAAATTATGTTGTTATATCTTGCGCACATACAAAGAGTAACGACAAATTCCACCACTATGTACAATTATAATGCACCAATAAAAAGTGTGAAAAGAGAAAAATATGGAAAAACTTTGAAAAAAAATACAGGAATGCACACTGAAACCACCAATGACCTGGCAGCTGATTTACACAGGATGGAGGAACCAGTCACAAGCCTGACTTGCACATATGCATGAGCCATGGCACATCATCAATTGGTCAATTCTAGGAACAATTGGATCCTTAGTCTTTAATCTTTTCAGGGTCAGGTATAATGTCTGAAAATCTGATACAAATTAAGGATCACATAAAAGCATAAGGACAAGCACACAGTTTCCGTTCAATTTCAGGGAGCTCACAAACCCTGAAAGCCCATCGGTGGACTTCTAGGTTCTAACGACCTTTCTTCTTTTATGTTTGATTTTAACTGACAAGATAGTTTGGCCATGGCAAGTATTCCATAAATGTCTGCTAGATTTAATTGAACCACTACTAGTTTTTCACCTTAAATACTGATCATTTACTTCTCCTGTCTAATGGAAGCATTGTGCCCTTTGATGGACATCTCCCCATTCATCCACCATCTGTCCTCTGCTCCTCAGAGTCTGAGTGTTTCAGTTTCCACATATAAATGAGAACATGTAGTAATTGTCTTTTTGTACCTGGATTATTTCACTTAGCATAATGTTTTCCAGGTGAATCATTAATTATCTACCCTTATTTTAGGCACTCTCACGACCAATGGGGAATTACCAAATGATAGAAGACATTTCTACACTATGATATAAACGAACTTAACAAATGGTTAGAGAGTATTTGAGAGTCAACCAGCTTAAAATTCTTCTTCCTTCCAACCTCTATAACAGCCTTTAGATACTATCTTCACAGTACCTTTTCCCCAAAACTACTGATCTGAATATTGTACTGAAAGGACTGATCAGAATTTCATAAATAACAAGGCAGCAAGCAAATTCCCAAATACCTATAACCACCTCACTCCCATACACCCATTTTTGTGTAGTTTCTGACTTTGAATTGGAGCTAGGACTCCATTAGCTCTTCAGTAAAGATTTAATAGCAAAGACGAGGGAGGCCCTCAGACAATGGGCTGGGTGTGGGGTGTTCAGTTCTATTCCAAACCAGCACCACATGTAGTGTCACGCACAGCGCAGTGAGGTGGAAAGCACAGTCATGAATCTCTTGGGACAACTGCCTGCTCAGTTCCAGTAAAATACTGCCAAAGGAATCCATAAAGAAGTCAGGGCCCCCCTGCATGAAACACTGCACCTTCCCCAGGGGACCAAGGATTTGTCACAGGCTCAGTTCAGCTCACATCTTGCCTCTTGGGAGCCCGATCCCGGGGCTTCGAGGCCAGTGGACCATGACCTGTAATACCCTATCTAATTGTACAATGCAGTCTTCAGAGGAAAGAAATCCCAGCTGAGTCCTTCAAGCAATCAATCTGAAAGTCCTAAAAATACAGCCCCAAATTACCCTGGATGTCTTATTTCTATAGAATACATTTTCCCAGGAACATTCCATTTGGGGCTGTAATTCTGAACTTGTTCCACATTTGTAACAGCCCTGCTGGAAAAAATCTCTTTTCTCATCACTAGCCTGTGCTTTCGGTGACACTGTCACTTTCCAAGTCCTCACAATCTAAAATCACTTTTTATCTCCTCTCTGCCAACCAGCTCCTGAGCCTAAAGAAGGTTTTTAACAGTCTGGGTCTCCTGTAGCTCAAAGATTTTCCTTGCTATTTTGTGGCCTTTGGCAGATTTTTAAAAAGTGATTTTGGTCTCTCCTCCTCACCCCTTTGCCATTTTACCTCTGTCAGTCAGCTACCTGTTTTTTAAGCATCCTTGTTGAAAATGCAGTAAGCAATAGGGTTAATGAAGGAGGAAGGATAAAGGACTCCTGGGTACCACACATCTCCATCACAGTAATTCATCTCTCCTCAATCTTAATGAGGATTGTGATTTTGTTGACTTTGAAGCCAACTTGAGCCCAAGAGCTTCAGGAGACGGATGTTACAACAAATCCTTCTTTGTCATCATCCAAGGGAACACATGGCTTCCACTGGAGTCCAAATGTGAAACTCAAACAACACTCTCAAGTATACTCCAAGCATAACTCCCAAATACGGTTTGGATGTTGAGCACCTGCCCTGTGGCAGATATGATTCTTGGAGCTGATCTTTGAATGGCCAGAAAGACAGGCACAGTCCCATGTTCATGAAGCATTTAACAGGGGTATGTGGATGAGAAAGTCAATGGATATATGTGCTGATTTCAGATAGAGTAGAGGTCATGGGGAAAAAAAAGAATTAGGATGAATATAACTTTACTGGATTCTCAAGAAAGCTGTTTGAGAAGTAGGAACCTGAAAGCCAAGAAAAAGCATAATTAATGGAAGGACATTTTAAAAAATAATAAGAAATTCAAATACTCCAAGATATAAATGAATACATTATATTTATTCATGATGTGAAAAGAACTCACCCCTCTGAACCAGGGCTTCTGAGTAAGGAAGGTGGAGCTAGAGGTTAGAGATCAGGGAGAAGTAGACAGAGGCCAGATCATATGGGACCTGTCAGTCATGATAAGGAATTTGAACTAGAAAACCATTTGAATGCTGAAGTTAATGAGAGATATGATGTGGATTTTCAAAAGTTTAAGTTGATAACATTTTGTGAAATTTGAGAAAAGAGAAATCTATTTTAATATAAGGAAGAAGAGTGGGTTTTCTAGGGGTGGGAGTGTGATTCTAATTGCAAAAGAGCCCAGATGGATTTTTAGGGTGATGGAAATATCCCACCTTGATTGTTGATTGTGATAGTAGGTATATACATTTGTCAAACTTCATCAAAGTATTTTCTTAAAGTAGTTGCTTTTTATCTCTCTATTTTGCTTCAATAAAGTTGATTTTAAAACAAAAAGTTTGCTTTGGCTATTGTGTGGAGAATGGATTGTCAGATAGAAATGGGGATATAAAGTTAGGATCCAGCACTGTGGGTCTGGTGATACATGCTTGTGGCTTAGATTAGGATGGTCTCAGCAGGGGTATGGAAGGAACTAATAGTGTAAGTTTATTTTGGAGGCACAGCAATATGATTTCATGATTCTGGGTTGGGGTGGATGCAGGGAACACTTTGCTGTTGGGTTTGAATCACTTTTATTATTTTATTATTACTAATATTAATTAATTTCTTTTTTTTTAGTGCTGAAAATAAAACCCAGAGGTGCTTTGTACATACCAGGAAAGTGTTCTACCACTGAGCCAAAAAATTAAGAGCCATTCTATTTTTTAAATATGTTTTTAGTTGTAGATGAACACACAGTATCTTTATTTATTTTTATGTAGTCCTGAGGATCAAACCCAGTACCTCACACATGCAAGGCAAGCACTTTACCACTGAGCTACAGCCCCAGCCTTCTAAGAGCCATTTTTTAATGCCCATTTAGGAGGCTGAAGAGCCTATAAACCATGTCACATGGTTTATTCTTTCTCATAGGCTCACTCTCATTCTCTGCAAAGTACCTGGTGGGAATGGAAGACCGTATTAAGATACTGGTACATTCAATGCATCTGTGACTAAATATCGCAATATTCCAACTTAGAATAGCTTAGCTAGGAAGATGAACTTGCTTGGGGTTTTTGATGCTGTTTTTTGTTTGTTTTCATGCCACGTGATTGTGCCTTGCATAGTATAGGCATTCAATAAATCGCTATTATATTTACTCAATCTGTCAACGGCTTTGTGCATTCACTATAACAAATGGCTGTTTTTCTCCCAGTTGCCAGTAATAAGGATGGAAGCTGAGTGGGAGGCTGAATTTTAGACTGCTTCCCTGATGCACAGTGACAACTGTGATATCCTCTGCAACTAATAAGGTCAAGCTCTAGCTGCTGGCGTCTTCTCGAGTAGGAGGGTGACCCACCTATTGCTGTGCAGGATGAACCTGCTAAGTGACCATCCAGGCTTTGTAGGATGGAAGCAGCAAGCCGAGGGAGGATAACATCAAAGTCAGGTTTGTGCAGAGTGTGAACAAGGATAGACGGGCAGGAAGATGACAGGCTGAATATACACGCACCATGCACCAAGCCCTTCCTGCTAAAACTAAGTGGTCTTCTTATATAAACCTAGAGGTTTATATACTACCTTTCTTTTTCCTTCACTTATACACAACTTCTGAACTATTTTACAGAAACAAAACATATTAATTTCATGAGACTTTAATCCACGATTCATCTCTTTCTCCCCTCCTACATTCACTGAGTATCTCTTGGTACGTCAAGTATGGAGTAGGCCTCAGAGCTACTAAGAGCAATAAGATGTGACCCTACAATCTTTCATTTATTAACTTAACCTCACTCAAATAGAGAAGTAGACTGAAAACTCCTTTGAAGGCAAGATCCAGCTTTGATCCTTCTCTTGGATACCATGATATCATTAAATATATAAAAAATTTACACTGATATATATAAATATATATATAAATATATATATATAAATATAAATATATAAATATAAATATATATATATATATATATATATATATATATATATATATATATATATATATTGCCCAAAGGTAAAATGATTAAAAGAAAAGCATAGTTCAAGCAGGGGTCAGCAACTGTTTTTCACTGGGCTATAAAGTAAATATCTTAGGCTTTGTTGGCCATACAGACATGAATAAACATGACTGTGTTTCAGTGAGATATTATTTAGAAAAACACAATGGGTCATATTTTTCCACAGGCCATTGCTTCTCTCAGCCCAAGCTTTATAGACTAAGACAAATGAGTGGAACATAATATAAAGAAAATAAACGGGTTTAAATTAGTAATTCTTAACCCTTTTTTGAGGCATAAACTTCTCTCAAAATGCAAGCAAACATTACCACGGGAATATGTCACACAATTCTGCATTCAGTTCACCAGTTTTGCAGCTAAATGTATTCCTCATTAGATCTGTAACAGGGGATTTTTCACAAGAAAGTAAGAATATTTATGGTACACCCTCATGAAAAATGAATATGATCATATTTTGCCTGAAACTACCATTCGAGGTCCTTGTCAGGACTCTGGTTAAAGGGCAGCTAATGTCCATCAGAGGAAGGGTGCACTTTAGCATGCATGAGATCCTAGGTTCAATTCAAAAAGAAACAAACAAACAAAAATCCCCCAAACAAACAAACAAACAAAAAAAAACTGGGGAAAATAAAAATCCTGGACATGAGCACAAGACTGATCATATGCTCTTATCTCCTTGGCCCATCACAAAGGCAGCTCTGAGATTCTTTTCTGCAAACTCTGCCTTCACGCCCTTTCCTGCCCATTTTGTTCATCAACTGAACAAAAATCCCAGAACTAGCTTCATCCTCTTATTAAAGGCACTTCCAGGCCTTCACTGTGGGGGTGCTCTACTCCACCAAGAGGACTCACCAGCAAGCAGTGCACAGGGTCCCCTCTGAGATCTGTGTCTGGTGCCTGCAGCAAACGCCAGTCTCTGCCTTTGTTGTATGTGATGAAGGTCTTCACTTGGTTGTCAATCTTCTTGTTAGCCAAGAACATTCCCTTTATCCCTGCTACCTGGGAAAAATGGACATGGCTGAAAAATACATCCATTTGAGAAGAAGGGACATCTTTGTTTACATTTTTTTTTTAAAGCAGGCTGTCAAACTTCAGCCAAGAGTATTTGTCTTGGAAGAAACATAGGGTGAGAATGGAGGTGGGCAGATGATGCTTAGGTATGACTCCCCAGACAGTTGGACAGAAAGCAGCAGATCAGCCCCTTGTTGTATGGGAATCATAATACAAGTTTGACAGAAGCTTATTATTACCCTAAGGTGGGTAGGCAGCAGCCTTCAGTTGCCAGGAGATAAACTCTGGTTGCGCTCAGTTCTGTTACTTCACAAGTGCTCAATAAAGAAACGCTACTTTTATTGTATGCTAGACTAGCACCCAGAGTCTTAAATATCGTATCTCATTTAATCCTGTTAACAGTCCTCCTGGGGGGGGGAAAATCACTCTATTCTCTATTCCACATATGAGATCTCAGGCTCATCCAGATAACGGGACTTTCCCAATATTAAACTAAGGACACACAGTAAGTGCCTAGAATTTTTACCCAGAACTCAATGGCTTCAGAGCTTGTGCTCTTGATGACTAAATTACTGAGCTATCTGTAGCCTTGGGCAACTGAGAAAAGTCAAAGATTCTAATATAATTACTGTTGTGATTTTTTTTGGTATAAGATCTCTTTTAATTCACCAAATGCAGTGTACATTTGAGAAAAACCTTAAAACTTAAGAAAACATTGTTTTTCTAAATCACTAATTGATCCCTGTCCCATTATTATAATGTTTTTGTTCTCACCATTAGCAGTTCTTATCAATTATTTAACTCTGAGAAGATAACTATTTGCTTTCTTCTATATGTTAAGAAAGAGGTAATAATTGACCAATTTTCAAAATTGTGCAATAACAAGTTATCCACTGTGCGCTGAATTTTCAGGTGGTTTGGACTGATCAAACAGATTTTACCCTGCAGAAAATAATCCCAATCCAGAAATAATGGAGAGCAGTGAAGAAAATAACTGAAATGTGTTGAGTTGTGCTTTTCATCTCTGCATGTGCAGCATCTCCCTTAATGCTCTCGATAACCAAGAGAGAGTGTTCTCATGAGCCACATTTGGAGGATGAGGGAGGGGAGACTTAGATTAAAAGCTACCAGAGACATGTGCATGGGGCATAAGTGGATAAGTAAGCATCTCTTAACCTACTTAACTTGGAACCATTGTATTACCAAGTGAATATTTTGAATCAGATGAGTGAAACAAAACTGTCAAGCACTATCCCCAGTCCTTCATAGACAAACTTCAACACTTGCTATCAACCTGTTTTAGCAACTTTTATCCCAGGACTGTGGATGAGAAAACTAAGGTGCAGACAAAATGAATGGTTTATGATGACAGATCGTTGGGTTTCCTACTCAAATCTGTATGACTTTCAAAATTCTTTCAGTAACTACAGCTCCAAATGTGACAAATCAAAGAGGTTGGGCTTCGATCAATAGAAGACACACTCTTTGCCTTTGCTTTGGACACAGTCAGACTTCATTAGTTAGTACCTGCTGATTTGGCACCTGGGATAATTTAGAGTTGGGCTAAATTTGTACTCTTTTGGAACTACAAGTTTGTTAAACAAATAAATGGTTTAAACGAGTTGCTGAGAGGAATACTTTGAACTACTTAGGAAAACGAGCCACATTCTGGGCAATCAACAGCAGCTAGGACAATTTCTTGTGCATTGTCAATCCTCAAAAAAAAGAGTTAGGCAGGAGCTATTGGGGCACTCAAACTCCCAATGACACTATGGTAGTTCCAAATTATATCTAGTTATTTGCAATACCAGCTCCATAAGGGCTGCTCACCAGGAAACTCCATATTACTTTTGCATATGTTCAAGCAGCTGTTATAAACTTAAATATGACCAAACTGCCTGTTCTTTAAAAATTAAATTTCATATATCAGAATTTTCAACAAAGTCATGCTGGTCTTCTCTCTATACCATAACCAGAAATGAGAAACGACTCTGTCTTAGTTAGTCACTCAGTACTCTAGAGGGTTACGATAAGAAATAAAAATGTTACCTAGTCCCATATTTTCATTGCCCAGTTTCCTTCCTGCTCTCTCCTCCTTTTGCCAAGGGCAGCAGAGTAGGGTTATGCATGTGTAGATCTGGTTCATCTGATGTGCAGAAGTGGTGATTTTATTAGGCCCCAACTGCTTGGCATTATCAAATGCTACTTGAGCAGAGAGTTGGGCTTTGTAATTCATCTCTGGCAGCTTGGCCTTCAGGTTTATCTTGAGGAATAAAAACTTGGCAAAGTAGAGGGAGTGTGTATCAACAGGGGCTATATTTGGAGAGAGTCTGTTTATTTCCCCTCTTATAGCCAAGGCACTTTTCCATTTGAGGTGTCTTTTATTGTCTTGCTCTCTAGCCTGGTATGCAAAAATGGTCAGCCCTGCTCCTAGGTTCTGTGCCACTCACTCTGCTCTGCCTCTGGGCTTGATCAATCCATCTGTGTTTCTCACTGCAACCTTATTTATGCAGGAGGTACTTTCTTCTAATGCTTTTTTAATAAAATCTCATAATGCCTTTTGTGTTCCTTCTCATTGCAGGCCTATGGATCTCAAAAGGGTCCCAAATGTGAAATTGTGTGGGTATGCATGGGTGTTTGTGGGTGTATATAAGGTTGGGGGTCCCACTGAGGATGAAAGAACATGTTTATATTGCCAGATGACCTCCTTCTGTGCCCACACTACATGCATGTTTAAGAATTGAGTAAGGGGCTGGGGCTATAGCTCAGTGGCAGAGCACTTGCCTAGCATGCACGAGGCACTGGGTTGGATCCTCAGCACCACATAAAAATAAGCAATGAAAATAAAGGCATTCTGTCCATCTACAACTATAAAAAATTTTTTAAAAAGAATTGAGTAAAACTGAAGGATGGCAAGGGTGGGGAAATGTAGTATTCCCAGCAGAAGTTCTGCCTTCACGTGGACACAGCATTTCCAGCAAAGACACTCCTTTGAAAAGGGTTCAGCACACTGGTGGAAGCTCATCTTCCTTTGGGGAAAGGGCTGTTAACTTTTATGCCACTGAATTCTACAGAAAGACTTCCAAGAGGGCTGGTGTCTTGGGAAGCTACTGTTCTCTCTTCACTTCTCATATGGATGAATTGGATAAGAGAAATCTCAAAGATCATGAAAAATTATTTCTTGTTTTTTAATATTATAGAAGCCAAGTTATCATTTTTACTAGTTTTTTAATATGAATATGCAGTAGCTCAAACCTCAACCTAGTAGAGAGAACTTCAAACATTTACTGTACCTGAGCATGAGCATCTTACAGTGCTGTTTCTTCTTTTCTCTTGCTCCCTTCATGCTTATAGGCCAACCCCAAATTTCTCAGACAACTTCTCGATGGGTTTCTACCTCTACCTCAAGATCCAGCTCTATAACCCTTTCCCAAAAATAAGAACCTCTTTTCATCTTGATTGTCTCTAACATTTCTCTGTTCTTCATCTTGTTTTGCATATACATGGTTATATCTTGGTCTCAACAACTGTAGAATCTTCTTATGGATGACAATCTTCCCGTAGACTTTTCTTGTACTCTTTCTTATCACAAGTTAATTCAACTTCGTCTTCTTTTATGAACTCTTACATTACAGTTTCCAATCTTAATATAACCTTTGGATTGCTGTTCACTTCGCCACATTGCTTCTTTAAAATTATTAAAGGTAAAGTCACTTTGTCCAAGGAGCCCCAATTTTGTTTTCATAAAATAGGAAGTAAGAGTTCTGCATTAGAAGATGTAACAACTACAAAAATAACATAAATTTACTGAGTGCTAATAAATAACGAGACATTTCATGAAAGGCTCCTGCAAACATGAGCTCCTGGGTCTCTCGGTGCACTCTGAGCGGAAGAGTCACTTATCCTCATTGTGCTGATGATTGAACCAAGGCTCAGATGTGGACAATCACTTACCTAATGTCATTCAGCTAGAGAAGCTTAGATCTGGACTCCATTTTTAGTCTAACTCTAGAGTTCATAACACTGTGGCTATATTATTTTTTCAAACTTTTCTCTTACCTGAGTATCATGAGAGAAATATCATATCGGGATATCATGATTATAGGAAAATACCCTTTAGTCATCCTTCAGTAATGTACTCAACAGTCATTCAGTAAATATTTTCTGAGCATCTACTGTGTATCATGTACTCTCCTAAGCACTGAGGATAAAACACCTAGACTGTCTAAGCCACTGTACCTTTATTCAACAGATTTTCTTTCTTTTTTTCTTTTTTTTTTTTTTGAGAATGAGAATGTACTAGATGTTGGGATTTCTTTGATTTAAAGGAAGAACCTCACATACCTTCCTCATTTTTTTGATTCACTCTCTAGATGGTTGTCCCCTGCACCAATGGTTCATGTAGAGGTAACGTTGAGAGCAGCCTTCGGCTGGTATTTTCCTTATTTCTATTCTGATGGTGATTGAGAGATGATTATTTCCACTCTCTCAACTTAAATCAAAAATCCTAAGTGTCAAAATTTGAGGAGAATTAAAAACAGATGAAAAAGTGTGGCAAGAAAGAGAGCATTTTCATAACTGTCATTTCTTCGGGCTTTGTGATGGGATATTTTTATCTTCTAAAGAGAAGATCTCAGCCAGAAGAGACACGTACTCAGAAGCAGTCAGGGTTGCCTCTGCAACCAGCGAACTTACTTGATTAAAAAAAAAAAAAAAAAAAAAAAAAAAAAAAAAAAAAAAGGTCTAAATGTTCTTTCTTCCCCTATTCCCCTGATCAAAAGATACTCTCCTCCTGGAGAGACAGGAACCTGTTCTACATCCTGTAATAAGGATGTCTTGATTGGACAGCATTCTTTCCTATCCTGTAAGAGGTAGTTTTTCTTCAAGAAGTCACATCAGCAGTACTGGGATTGTTGAGTTTTCTCTTTTAAAGACAGGACATGCATAATGTGCTAAAGATGCCACGGCATCCTGCTCACTGGTTATGGCTTTCCTGATGCATGCCATGGCTCATCCATTCACCCACATTCTTGTGCATTCTGAATTTGTCAGCCAGGTGGCTTCACTCCTAACACAACCTTTCCCACTCAGCTTGGGTGAACTGTCATTGCCCATTAAGCCAAAGGGCTCTTCATCATCATTAATTAATATTCCCTTCCCAAAGGAGGGAAGATATTGCCCAAAGCTGTCAGATTCCCTTTCATCATCCACACCACCCAAATACACTGGAATCACATGTCTCAGACACACTCATCACATCCCTTTCGCTCTGGCCACCATCAAGCATGCTGTCTTCTGTTATTTAACTCATACAATGCTACTGGAACTTTTGAGCTATTCAGGAATAGCAATGTCTTAGGACAACTTGCTTCCAGGCTTTTCTTACACACATGCATCCACCACACAAAAATTTGGAGCCCTGTGTAAGTACTGCCTTATAAGTCAGGACTTGCTTCTGAAGGTAGTGTATAGGTCTGGAGTCATCAACTGCTGATTCTCTTCATATTAAATATTCCCTCAGATAGTTTTCTTCTTCCTGTATGGTTTCTTGCACTGCTAGGCAAAGTCGAATGCAATTTTCCTGCCCTGCAATGTCTTTCAATCTTGATGCCATTACTCATCTGCAATCAGAAACAAGTGCAGATACTAATCTTTCAGGGAAGAAACAATATTTCATAGTGAGGAGTTTACAGACTCTCGGATTTAGGTCCTAATTCTGTCACAAACTAGCTTTGAATCCTTGCAAAAATGGATATATTATCTCAACCTCTATTTACTTAATGAGAGGGGAGTGATTATAGTCCCTCTATATTCCAAAGTTCAAATGTGGATTGAATGATATAGTTATGGAAGATTATTTCCACAGTGCTTTGTACAAAATTTCCACCCCAAAATATTTGCTATTATTATTATGTCTCATCTACAACAACCAAAAACATATCTAAAATGTTTTATCTGTAGCCAACTTTTCTGGCTCACATTTCTTCACCATCTTAAACAAGGGACATGTTCAATATCAAATTCACACTCAAGAGAAAATTCTGGAATTTTAATAATTAAACCACAGGAGATTGTTCCCCAACACTTTGTCCTCAACATTTTCCCATCTCATTCCCTATACACATGTAGTGCTAGAGTAAAGGATGGAGTAACCAGGTTCTAATGTATGTGCAAACAAAATGGTTTCAATGAGACTTTTGCTTCCTTCTGCATTTCCCATAAGGACCCATCAACAATGTAGATTCCTGAGATATGGACCCATCTACACGCTCATAGCTGAAACAGTTCACCTCTGTTAAAATAGCTTCAAGAGAACGCAGGTACAGAAACAGCAGGTGACTGGCATGCAGAAGCATATAAACAATGAATGGCATCCTCTTTAGTCACCCCCAAATGTGAGCAGACGTGCACTCCATATATTCCATCCCTGTCTCCCCTATCTCTTATGATGCTCATCTCTCTTCCTTAATAACTCATGTATGGATTTTCTTACTTTTCATTTATCTCTAAGCTCTCATCATTCATTGCAACTCTACTGGGAAATTCATGCTGGATGGCTTTCAGCTTCCTGCTAGCCAGAACAATCAGATTTAAGGGAACATTTGTGCCAGGCTCCGTGTCCGCCAATATTCTTTGTATCTAGGTAATCAGCAGATATGGCACTGCCGTTCTGATCACATCAATTTCAATTCAAGTTGCTGTGAACTGTCAGGCTAATAAAACAAAGATGCTTCGCTCCCGGCCCCAGGATGCAGAACACCTTTACATAATACAGTCACACCACTGCTCAAAGTGATGATAATCAGAGGCAGCAGTTTCCCTACAGAGAGTCAACTGCAAGAGAGACACAAAGGGGAACTGCAGGATTAACAGAAATGTTTGCCATGTCCAGAGGTCACCCTGCTTCCTATTCTAATTCCATACCCATGCCAACATTTGAATTCAGAAAACAATCCATGAAAACAATCGCAAATAACAAGACATTGCAAAGTCATTCCTGCTCAGATCTGTCATCTTTCCCATTATCAAGGGACCAATTAAAATGGTCTTTACTTCTGGCAGAAAACAAAATTTATCAGGAAACTCTATTTTGAATGGACTTGATAAAAGAGGAGAGAATAATCAGGAAGTTACCTGAAAAAATCAGAAAATGTACTCCAGAGACCAAAGACAGAACTAGACCCAAGAAAGCACCCTGGGCGATTAGGCTGGGGCAGCTGGTGTGATATCACAACAGCTGGACACCTGAAGACACTTCCATTGTAAATTCTGGATCCAGGGAAGAGAATGTGTGGTATTTCAACAAGACACACTTCAAATTTAAATGTCCACGGGGCATTTACAAAGGAGGAAAGCAATGTGACAATTTATGCTTGCTTATAAGAAGTCAACTAGTTTGTGTCAAAAAAAAAAAAAAAAAGGACATATGGTCATAATGCTAATTGCAATATGAGAAGAAGTAGAAATCCAAAATAATGGAAATGTATTGAACATTTAAACAATGAGAGCATATTTGAAGACTATAAGAATACAAGATTATATTGATGTTTAGACTCTTTGGAATATATTAATATGTCATCTACATTTTGTTGAGCACTACCGTATTCCAGGTAGTGCACTCAACACGTACAAGGATTAACTCATTTCATTCTCAGAGAGATTCCATCCTGGAGGTCCTGTGTTTTATCTCCATATTGTAAACAAGAACACTGTGGCTGAGAGAGTATAGATTTGGCTCAAAACTACAAATGGTATAGCAAGGGTTTTCACCCAGGCAACCTGAATCTAAAATCTATACTCTAAATTAAATTTCATCCAAAGGGAATTTGAAACTAAATAACCAGAGTATGTAAATGTTTTCCAGAATACATGTTCGATTTGAGGCTGAGATGTAAGATACTATATTTACCTGAAACATGGGCAGGAGAGAAAGTGGAAAAGTTTGCAGTACATTTTTTCTAAATACACACACACAAATCATGTCCCTTGCTAGTCTGTCATAATTGCATCATAAATACTTGGGCAATGAATTGGGCAGACCATTTGTTAACCAGCCTTTATACATACAGAGAATTCTAGTTCCTAGAAGACATCTCTAGGAGTTCCTGAAGGGGAAGGAAAACAGAAAACACTAAGAGGAATTACAATGATGGGCTTGAATTTTGTAAGTGAAATTGGTTTCTTTCATCCTGGATATAACTCCCTTGCTTCTTCTTATACAAACAACTACTTGAAAGTCTGAATTTACCCTCCACCAAATGATTGTGACATTAGGATACTACATATTTAAATCCATTTTAGATTGTTTTCTCAGATAGAATATAGGTATGATAATATTTTCCAAATCCTGCATGTTTTAAAATGACACATTATAACCCATTATAAATTCTTCTTAGTGCATGATATGACTGGCAAATGCTAAAATACAACCCCCAATACTAGCTTTATTTCTACCTAACTGTGCCTTAAAAGGCAATTAAAACATTGGTGTTTGTCTCAAAAACTGGTTGATCCAAAGTGTATGAATTTATTTTGAATTTGTATTATTTTGAGGAATGAAGAGCCTTAGTTCCCTTGGGGAATCCAGAAAGCTCTGGTTTTGTTGTGGTTTGTTAAATTACTTTTCCCAGATTTGGGAGGGAAAAAAACCTCTTAATCTTATCTCACATTCTGGTCCAGGAAGAGGAAGATCATTAGCCAGGGGAAGTCACTGAGTTAAAAAGTGTGCTCTGATGTCATGCCAAGATGTCCCTGTCTCTTTCACTCTTCAGAGAGAGATAAAGGAGTTCTGCCCACTGGTTCTTCTCGAAGCACCCTGTCGGCCTCGTCAAACTATTTTCAAATGGCCATGTGTGGAACACACTTATGCAAACACTTTCATTGTCTATCTACCCAGACACTCTCCAAGTCCTCTTTGGGCCTTCACATCTTGCAGACTTGGTCAAAAAGAGAATGCCTCCCAGAGAGTTCTGTGGATTGCAAATTAACTAACAAGAACATCCCATAAATCCCTTCAACTCCCAAGTGCAATGAGACTGCACATGGAAACAGTAATAAAATGATCCAACGGCTGGCGCTGGCTCTTCCTTGGCCAGTCCAGCCACTGCTATGGCTCAGCGACCACATGTACCTGGTGACATACCTCATAGAGGTCAATCATGACATTACCCTCAGGACCTCTGCTGCTCTGGACATTCTCCAAGGCCAATGTGAAGTAGACACCGCGGGTGTCTGAGATGTAGAGGTTGTAGGTATCATTCTGGTTCCATTCTTGGACTGCTGCAAACACTTGGTTCTCATCTGTGCTAATGACATGCATATCCTGCAGGAAGACACAGGAAGTGAAGAGGGAAGAAGAGTTTTATGCGTTAACTGGCGTGCATCTAATAAGCTTGGGATCTACTGAAGTATATCAGAATTAGCATTTTGATGAAAGACAGAGAGCATCCATTTGCATATATAAAAATAGTGATTAGATAAGGGTTAATCATATATTTTCTTTGTCATGTGGGAGGTCAGGCAGTAAGGTCATGAGAAAATAAGAGAGATGCTTAGTGGCTCAGTTATAATTTAATGTCCTCATTAGATAATTTGATGAATACTGTCTTAAATATATATGCCTATGGAGAACCAATCATTCTGATATATTTGTCAAGTTTAAACATGGTAAAGCTTATGTGAGCCAAATATGAGGAAAGTCTGCAGGAACAGAGAGAAAACAGAAAACCCTTCATCTCTTACCAAGGTCCACAGACTCAGAAAATGGATGCCATCTGCAAGCTTGTTAGATACACAGAACTTCAGGGCCCATTTATGAAATCAAAATATGCATCTTAATAAGATCCTTTAATAATAAGCAGGGGGCAGCTGCATCTGGGTGAAATTCCAAACCCTTTCCCCTTGTTCAGAACTCTATAGAAGTGGATTCCAACACAGACAAGAGCTTGCCATCCCCAACCAAGGGTCCCTGTCTCTTTTAGGGGATACCTGTTCACACGCTCTCAGCTGCCTTTTATTTTTCCCAAATCAGTAGACACAATACAACTTCCAAAAATTAAAAATAAAAACAAAGGGGAAAAAAAGTTTCCAAATATGAAGCTATACATATCATAAGGGTAGAAGAAAAATGTGGAAAGATTCTTGGCCTTTATGTTCTCTCTCAAATCTTCAGAAATGGACCTGGCTCTGTCCTCAGACACTTCAGGAGATCTGGCTATCATTCCTTAGTAACAATCCTAGTGCTGGAAAGTTCTCCTTCACCTCTATACTAAATTTTTCATTGTCGCTTGAGTTATTTTTCTTTTTCTTTTTTTTTTTTCCTGCAAAGCTGGGTCCCTGGGCCTCAGGCATGCTAGGCAAGTGCTGTGCCACTGAGCTATCACCCCCTCCCTTGTAACTGGAATTCAAATCTTGGCTCTTTAATTCAGCCATGCAGGTGGAACTCTGTGCTCAGAATTTTTACCTGCAAAATAGAGATAAAAATAGCATTGTGAAGATAAAAGTAGTTATTAACTGTTAATACACTTATAATAGTGCCCATTACTTAGCATATGCTCTATAAATGGTAGCTATTTTCAGTTAAGGGACCACTTTTATCCCCCTTGTTGATAGGGCAAGGTGAGTTGGCTTTTCTATTTTGTCTTCACTAATGCTCTCAACAAAAGGAGGTTCATCCAAATGTTTTCTTTCTAATGAAATTAGCTGTGCAAATGAGCCCCAGGGTTGTCCTTTCTTTGTCCACTGAGGAACAAACCCTCTATGGCTCCCCATTCTCTATAAGGCTAAGACCAGAGTCCTTACCCTGGCATTTAAAATTGTCAAAAAAACTACTCCCAGTTCATGTTTCCTTCCTTCAACAGTATAATATAATCCCCAAATTCAAATTACTCTATTTCAAGAGTAAACTGGTCCTAGTATATCTATATGTCTGTGCCTTTGGAGTGAATATTTGCACAGGAGAATTTCTGTGAGCCTTGCTATAGACATTAAATAATCTTTGATTGGGGAACAAAAGCAGATCATCTATAGAATCCCACCTTGCAGAGAGGCTTGTTTTGTGGATTTGAAACTGAAGCACAGATGCATCAAGTTCCAGGTCACTTAAGAGAATCTGTCACATAATGATAGTAGATTAAAATTTTCATCTCTAGACATGGGCTGAGAACATATCTCTTTCTCCTCATCCACTCTAATTACATTGAATAGCCTTTTTAAAAACGATGTTGGTCTTAAATGTTTCAATTAAAAAGCCAAACATATTTAAATGTCACCTTTCTTTTTCCATCTTGCCTAAATCTTCCTTGTCTTCAGGAAAATGTGTTCTTTCTTTTTCACTGAGTCACATGATTTTAGACTAACACAGGATCTTATACCTTTTCTATTAAAGCATTTTTAATAACTGATCTGTAGGAAAACAGCATTGTTGGTTTTTAATAAGATGTAAAAAGGAAAGTAGGGTCTCTTTGGTAAAATTCTGAATTAATGCTGAATTAAAGATCTTTCTTGCTGAGAGTACATTCAAGGTTCTTCAGCATACCAGTGAGCTCCTGTTAGTCTCTAGGGAAGGAACATATAATGGAGTCTATTCCTTTAAATTTATATTATCATAGGACGAAATTTTTGCAGAACATCACTGAGGACATTTTATTCTGAGTAACACATTTGAGAAAATAATTTTTTAAATCTAAGCGCCTTATTTTAAAAAAAAAATGAAGAAAAGAAAAATTGACAAATCAGCCACCCAAGGTTTCAAAGCAAGTTAGTGACAGATCCAGGTCTTCTGTTGCGAATCAAACAGCCTCCGTGCCCCCCTGCACCCTGGTACACATCGATCTTCCACCATGGAGACAACCAGATCCATACTAATAATAATATTACCTTGCTTTTATAGAGTATCTGTCCTCCGAAATGCTCCAAGCACTTTCGTATGTATTGCCTCATTTATCTCACTTGAGTAGCTCAGAATGAGCCCCCAGTAAGTCAAGTGAAGGAAGATTGTCACTATGTCTCTCTGATCTAGAGGACCACATGCTCTTAATGGTAATGGCAACATTAAAATTTACCCAACTCACTCCCTGGTTATTCTTTATATATATATATATATATATATATATATGTAAACACGGTTCTGGGTAACTCTGGTTTTTAAGAGTTGACAAATGGCAATAGGTGATTAAAGAAGATTTGAGCATGAACGTGCTGGTTTGTCTCAATTCCTTTGGTCAGCAACGAGCTTCCTTCCTTTAAAGTCCCATCAGCCTTGGATTGGATGAAGGCCAGGAAATATATTGGCCTTTTCCACAGATCACTTCTCCTTTTTGAAGGTCTAATGGGACTGTATGGAGCATCTCATTGCTTTATATAATACAACACACCTTGACTCAATAATCCATTCATTTGTACATCAGCTCCCATTTTCTGTGGGGACAGGATAAATGAGACACTGCATTTTATCCTTAGTGCTCAAAGGAGCCTGAGCCATGAACACACTCATTCGGAAGAGCAGAGGGAGGGGACAGATGGCCAATTTGGATTCAGAGTAGAGCTTTTCCTTCCAGATTGGCTGCATGCTACTGGAGGCCACTGTCAGCAGTGATCTGCATGATGGCTGTGACCAAGCAATGCAAAATGTCTTTCTTCCAAATCTCCCAGCTATGGGTCCACACAAGCTTCTTGGATTTTAAACTATCATGTTGGGGATTCCTGAAGTCAATAGGCTTTTACTCTCCATGCCCCTGGTGATATATCACATTTGAGGGAAGGACAGTGCTGCTACGTTTTAACAATAGAAGTTATTAATTTACATTTAAAGAAATAAAATATGTATAAAAGACACTAGCTTGGGTGGCCAAAGACTTTAGTTCTAGCCTCAAGTCTTTGGCAAATAGCATTTGGTTTTGGCTCAGATTTAGTTTACTCAAAGAGTACATTCACCCCAGGATGAGCCCAAGTGAGTACCTCGAAGCCGCAGTTTCTTGATCTGGTCTCAATTCCACATGAGTGTAATTCTTATTTTCAAAGGTACAAATCTTGCAAGTCAACTATTTCATTTTTTTTTGGGGGGGGGGGTCAGAGAAATCACAATTTATTTCAGCACTAGGAGGGAAACTGTTATTTTATCTACTGAGGTAATATGTTCATCTCTTTCAAGAACCTTCCTAATAGATTATTGAGTGCAATTTAACAACACTCTGTCTTCCTGTTACAAACAAACTTCATCCAATTTTCTTCTAAGGCAAAACTTCAATGTTGTAAGTTCTTACCTTATTAAAGAAAAAAAAATGTTAAGTCAAATCAAGAGAAGAAGTGCTTAAATGTGTATTCCAACACAGACACATGGGCCTGGGCAATTACAACAGTCATTGATCTCTTAGCAGCTGAAAATAATAATAGCTACTCTCATGAAGATAGATCCTTGGAGTTAATAGTGCAATTCAATGTGCCTTATCGCCTCTAATGGCTGGGTCTTTCATCCCCCCGTTCAGTGTTAGGATAAGGGGTAGAGTGGGTGCCCCCTAAAAGATTCTGCCTAGAGAAGTCAGCAACTTGTTATCATTGCTCTCCAGGGAGAGAAGACCTGCTATGCCCTTGTACTAGGTCTGTCACATAATTTCTTGTCCAGACATCTGTATTGGCTGAAGGTGGCATACTACAAAGTCAGAGGATGAAAATATAAGAGAAAGAGACTGTGTTGAACATCCAATCAAAAAAAAAAAAAAAGTTCATTAGGTTTTCTTTTCAACCCCAAAGCTCAAAGTCCACCTATAATTCTATTTAAACCTTCAAAATCCCCTTCTTAAACATTTTACACATGTACCTCCCTTGTTCTAAGATTAAGCGCCAGTACATTAACAAATTGGGCACTTAAAATACATCGGAGCTCTCTCAAACAGGCAGCTCTGAATGCCCACATCAGTTTGACCTCCACTAGGTGGCGCTCCGTATCAACGTAGTTTTTTAGTGTTTCCGGAAAGATTGCCTGGGGTTGCCAGTGGTTGAGGGTCTTTAACTTCCCAATACCACTATGTTCAAAGGGGAATGTTTGGGGAAGTCTAAAAAATTAGCTGTGCTTCAGAACTCTAAAGACTATCCCGTTTAGTAAATCCCATTGAGAAATAATGCTGTCATGTGATTGCAACACCTCTCAATAAACAAATAGTAACAATAAAATGGGATAGAAATGAGTCGCACATGTTGAGCTGATATCCAATGAATCCAAATAAATTGTTTCTGTCTTTATAGAAAAAACCAAGGCATACTGTTAAAATAATTACTAATGAAAAGCAAAAGCAAACCATTAATTTATTTGGATGCTCCTAAAGCAAGAATTCCAGAGAGATAATGAAAGAAAGGAAGGGGTTGATGGGGGGGGGGGGGGCAGGCACCAAGAGAGAAAGGAAGGAGCAACACTGGCAAACAAGAAAGTAAGGCAAGTCCAGCTTGAGAAATAGAGGTGGGGTGATAAGAAAGATTTGACTGTGAGAGGCTGAAAAGGTCTCCAAGAACAGAGTGGAGGCAGGACAATATGAATCAGAGAAAGCAGTGAAATGGAAAAAACCAATCAGGGTATATATACCTTGGGCAAAGCGTATTTCGGAAGCTTCATTTGGGCAAACGCATTCCTCCTGTAGGACACGTAGTAATGTGGTCTTCCTCCTGACGTCAGCTGTATTATAAAAACAAGGTGGTAAGAGGAGCTACCATAAAGGTCGCAGGTCACAGAAGTGCTACCTGAATGGAAGGAGTTGGTTGCCCACGCAGCAGAATGGATGCCCGTGCAGGCAAGTGTAAAGAATTGGCATTTAGTTAAAAAATCAGCCAACATACGGTATGTGTATTAGTCAGAGGCCCAAAGTGAACCCACTGTACAAAAATATAATTCTTTTAATTTGTACTGTAGCTCAGAAGCCAGAAAACATTCTCAGGTTTATTTTTTTGTTTCTAAATGATATAAGCCTTAGAGTGTATCAGCTCCAGCCCAGCTCTCCAGCCCTATAACAAGTGCCTTTGCCATACCAGAAGGAAATGGCTCTGGTTGAATAGTGGAAGGGGAGCCTCACATCTCTGGGCACCAGGGTCCCTTTTGATGAAGTCACACTGATGACTGTGGGCACATCCCATAGACAGAAACACCGGCATGCTAGGCAGAAAGGCAAGCCAAGATCATGTTCCAAATCTATTTTAGGACTCTTTAGAAAAAAATTGGGAAAATTTGAATCCTGATGGGTGGGAGAGAGAAAAAGAAGGGTTATATTCTCCCCGTAGGCACAGGCACCAGGCTGGGCACAGTCTCTGCCAGCATCTCTCTCCTTGATTGCTGCTCTTAACCTATGTGAATACCTGGACATAGAACGTCAGTGAGAGTTTGCATATTTAGAGTGTCAACAAATACTTGGGGTAACGTACATCAGACACTCAGGATTGTGACAGGAAAGTTATCATCTGCTTGGCCATTATGCGCAGATTGCCTCTTAGTCCTCTTTGTGGGTTAGAGAGTCATGTTTATAGTGGCACAGATAGCAAACTATCTATGAATGCTGAATTGATTTTGATTTGCGAATTACAAATGTGGATTAGATACAGTTATTAGAGACCAGAAAAGGTTCCTGGGAGAAGCACTGATAGAGAAATGAATTAGGCAGACCAATGTATATAACTGTTTGAATGTCATTTGAAATTATGGGAGTATTCATTACTCATTTCCCTAAAAAAGAAGGAAATGGGGTGTGTGTGTGTGTGTGTGAGAGAGAGAGAGAGATCATTTATGAAATACTTAAAATTATAGAGGCTGATATGGAACATTTAAAAAAAATCCTTCCTCAAAGCATGGGATTAAATTTTCTGAATCAAAATTTCTTGTCCGTATGTATATGTGCAGATACACAGTATGTATCAGCTATTTAGAAATTATACCTTTGTCATTATTAATGGAAAGCAATAACTGAATATTTAAATGCATTGTTCCTACAGAACTAACATTTTCCTTAATTGCTCCAGAGAAGCAAAACACACTAAATCCCAGTGTCTTCTATCCACTAAGGAAACTGTTTCCCTCCTTTCACTTTCTTAGGAAGTGAAAAACCTGGCTGAGCACATCTCATGCAAGTTCTCTTTATCCTAACTGCATTCAGTCCTGACAATAACGGTTGATTACTCTTACTCTGGCCTCTGCTGCCCACTACCTCCAGGCAGCACATTTTCCCTTCCCACCTTTCTCCCTACTCTTAAGTTGGTTCCAGGAAGGAGATGACTAGCTTGGTATTCCTCTGATAGAAGAGCCTGGCATATCTGCACAGTCATATGCAATGACTGGGAGCTGCTCTACAAATCAGATGAGGGGACAAATGGAACTGTGTGTCATTCTGGAGGCCACCTTCCTGCTTCAAGGTAGTGCCTTTGTGACCCGCTGATGTGGTTCTCTAGACATTGCCTGAGGATCAGCATGCACAGAAGCTTCCCACTCCATATGTTGCTTCTTTCCTTCTTTCCTCCCTCCCTTCCTTCCATTTTTACTCATAAGCCATGTGAGCAGGTGGAAACGCTGTGACATAGACAGAAATAAGAGTGAGAAATGCCTTTGGGACAATCAGTACAAGTGGGATCTTTCTTACCTGAACAAACACGTAATCATCCTGGACAATCAAAGAGTCTGGGTCAATGTAGCCTGGGAAAGGTTTATTTCTGTTGGTTTCTGTGCAGTTCTGCATTCGGCAAGTAAGGTATTGTGAATCTGAAAAAAGAAAAAAATGGGGTGGAGGTATACATGTAGCATTTTAGAGTCAGGGTAGATGGTGTGTATTTCCCTTGCCATGTCCATGTCTTTAAACAAACCTCCAATCTTCACACTGGTAATTGCTATCATTTTTGTTACGATTATTATCATTATTCTTCGACTCCCTTGCAATTACCAATATCGCCCTCTCCCTGTGGTCTCACCAACTCTTGCCATATCAGAATACTAAATATCTGTTCTTTAATTTTTTTTCCCCAAACCCAGTGAAAATATTTTCCCACACTGACATTAAATAATGCTTGTGATTTCATAGTTACATTCTTCTCTTTAGCAGGCTTCCCCTCCATACTCTCACCTTTGACAGAATTAGGGAAACATATTAAGTCATTAACCATCTCAGGTGGAAGTGCTGTTGTTACAAATAATGATTCTTTAATAATATAAATATGCTTCTTCTAAGAATTAGAAATCAAACAGAATAGAGGGATTCCCACGAGTCAAAAACTTTGTTCTTACTTTTATAGATGAGTAAGCTGAGCCCTGGATCTCACTACAAATTACACCTGCTGTTAAGCACAGTCTCCATATTGATAAATCACTCTTACATCAATTCCGTCTCCATTGCTGGAAGGAGGTGATATCGGGGAAGCTATTTTTATTTCTCAGTGCTCACTATTCTGACCCCTATGTAATCAGATAGTTTCAGCTCTTACTTAAAATGGCTTTTGCCTCATTGCACCTAGAATAAATTCAAAATCTGCACTGCCCACCACTCCAACTTCCTTCTCCCTCCCACACTGATCTCTTTGTTTCTTGCTGTGAGTCTTCTAATTCAGCCTATTTTATGTTCAGGAACTTGGCCAAACTTTCCACCACAACAGAGGCATTTTATTTGTCTCTGCCTACAGTGCTTCTCCCCAGGCTGCTACCAAAGAAGGTTCTAGATTTCAGGTCACAGTTACTTCCAAGGATCTTCCCTGACTGCTCTGTATTATATGCCATCATATTAATTCCCTCCATGGAATATCTCATAATAACAAATGTTAATGTTTTTGTCTGTATCCTTTCCCAATTAGAATGCAATCTTCATGGAGACAGGTAACTTTATTTTTCTTTTTTTATTTACCCAAGTCCTAAGTTCCTGGGGCATAATAGGCAATAAATGATTCTATGTTGAACAACACCTCTTTATTGGAATATATATTTTTAATTAAAAATGAATGGGTAAATTTGATTTTAAGAATTAAAGACACATGCAGAAATCTGTTCTAAATGAAAATATATGAAGGCCACAACTTATATGCAAGGGGGATGGACAGTAGCACATTGAAGAGGACAAGAGTATTAACTAAGTAATTTTAAGGAAATCAGCAGGGTTGAGTTTTTCAGGATCACCTTCACATCAGGTATTCCATGCTCAACAAGAAGTGCCACTAGGGGGCGGCATGCACATTGGCCCCCATCTGACCAAAGAAGATGTAATTGCTGATAAGCTCACAGGCACCTGAAGAAACAGGGCTTTCCTCATCATCTTCCTCATCCTGCTGCCTTCTGTGGGTAGGGGGTAGCTCCCAAGTACCCCATCTGCTCCTGGTGAAACCACCTCCTAGGCTGAGCTAAAGAGAGGACCTCTGCTGATTCTTTCCTGTCACTTTTCCCAGACCTTCCTGTGGTTCCATTTTAGAGCATAACTCAGGATATTTTTCCTTAAAAACAATAACTGGGGTTCATCTCTTCTCCAAATGCCCCCCCCCCATAACACACAACGTCTGTACAATTTCACACTCCACTAGACCTTTTTGATGCCTTTAAGTTACTTCATTTTCTCAAAAGGTTCCTTGAGGTCAGAGATGATGAAAATCTGTGACTTTGAGATCTGAGCTTAGTTCTGCTGTGGCCATTTACTAGCTGCTTAGTTCAAAAGAAATCTCTTCACCTTCCTGAATCTTGTTTCCTTCATCTATTAAATAGGGATGACAATATAAATTATCTAACAGATTGACTTATAGATAGGATTAATTATGGAATAATGCGTATGTTAAATGTTTTGAAATTCAAACTTGTTCAAATACCAATTATATCAATAATGAGAATATTCTTGCTTTCTCTTTTGCTATCTGTCACAATGATGAGATCAACCTGGGCACATAACAGATCCTAAACAAAACTGGTTAAGCTGAATTTGAATACTGTAACTATATTTCTGTATCAGGTATGGTTAGTGGCCTACTCAAACTCCATTCTTCTCCGTTTGCTGGGGGAAAAAAAAAAAACGTATTGGACAGACTCATCCTTCTTCCCTGTGACTCAGAACATCGCATAAGTAGGGAAGAATCCCACTGGGTTTAGGTCCACTCTGGGTTTTCCTAGTCCTCTTGGCATTCCTAGATTTAGAAGAGCGCACTTAAATCTAGGAGCTACCTGGTGATACAGCAGAAGGCCTCCTCTGCCTCTGGACTACACTGTGTCTCAATGTGGTGCTTCAAACTGCTCTACTGTCTTGATAATCTGAAGAAGCCAAGCTTTGCATGAAGCTTATATGATGAGTGGGAAAGACAGACAGAAAGCCCTACTGCTATGATTCTCCTTCCATGAGATACTGAATAAAAACTATGGTCAAAGCTAACTGAATCAAAGGTTCTTGATCAGGAATTTGAGGGCCTCCAGTTACAAGTTCCACTGTAATTTTAGAGCTGATGCATAACTAGGGCTTCCTGATGGATATATATTCCTTATCTTTTTTGTGATAGTATCCAGTAGTTTCTTTCTTAAAAATTCATTATTGTCATCATAGACCCCAAAACAAACATAAGATGAAAAACACCAACATTTACTTATCACATTCATAGCTCATCTATATGAAATTATAAATCTGAGGGACTGAGTAACATTTGTTGAGCAACTCTGTGCCAGACATTCTAAAGGATGTTTACATTTACTTGGTTCATTTAATCATCACAACACTGCGGACTATGATATATCAACTGATTTTTTCAGATATGGAGAGTAAAACTCAAAAACTCATGATTTATAGAAATGGCAGTATGGGGTTTTGACTTGATTGGCCTGACTCCAACTTTGGTTTATTTCTACCACACTATGTGGCATGAAAAATCTCAGCGAGTTTCAGGCCAATTTTTTTGTCAAATATATTTTGGCTTCTATTAGAGTATCAAGGGATATGCCTAAATCCCAAGTGAAAACACCCATAAATTCATATTTTATGAGATAACTGGCAATAGGGATCAAGACACTTAAAAATCTTATCCTTTGGTCTTAGTTTCATCTCTGTGAATTCTAAGGGAATAATGATGTATGCAAGGAGGTGGCCACTTGGTTTTTCATCACAGGGATGTGTGTGTGTGTGTGTGTGTGTATATTTTAATTAGAGAAAACAAAATGACCAATAGAGGGACAGTTAAATAAATGTGGGACATGCATAGTTGGCTATTAAAATTCTGCTACTATGAAGGGATATGTATTGAATTTTATATTATAAAAGGAAGTTACCCATTAATAGTATGGCACCAAAGTGAATTTCTTAGTTTTGAATGGTATACCTTGGGTTATAAAAATGTGAACACTGAAGGAAACTGGGTGGAGAGCACATGTACTCTAAACAATCTCACTAACTTTTCTATCTGAAATTATTCCAAAATAAAAGTTTTTAAAAAGTAGGTTACCACAATATGTGCATTATGGGTCCCCTTTTTTGTTTTTTTGGCAAGTTGTTTATATATAGATATCAATAGATGCATGACTGCTCAGGAAAAAAATGAATAAAACATTTATCTCAATAATAGAGGAAAAGCAGCAATGTGAGGAGGTTGGACAACCTGTGTACCCATCGCTGGTCCCACACCTCTCAGTTTGGTAGATAGGGAGAGTCTTTTGGGCTTATGAGACCAGCATGTTCTGGGTTCCTCCAACCCATGCTGCATTCTGCAATTGAGTTGTACATGAGTCTGTCTTTGGGCTTTAGAATGACAAAGTATACATTTTGGTGACACAGGAAAAGCCTCTGGAAGGAGTCTTTAAACCAATTCTTTCTCAGAATGGCTCAAAGTGAAATTTACAAGCTGAAGGGTAAATGATCCATTCTGAGCTGCCTGCCTGGTAAAGTGTTCCCTGGTTTGTTCCCTTTCTCCTTCTAATGGAAATAGAAAGAAATTGGCTGCAGTTCATAATGAGAGACCAATCACTCTCACTCCCCCAGGGCTTGCTGTAATAGCATTAAGTATGATGAACTCTTTCCATATTCAATTCTGGTGAGCGTATGATGCGATTCCATAGGAAGTGTCTTGTAATTTGGCATTAATTAATGTCAATTAATGTATGCAACTGCTCCAAGTTAGAATTAATTTCATTACTTTTCTTACACAGATGTTTTCCTTGCCACAGGTAATTAGGACGCTGTGCCGCTCTTTCTGAGCATTCTCACTATTTGCAACAGCTGCTGATTGAAATAATGCAGTCCCCATCCACCCCAAACCTGTGCTGATCCAGAGAACTGGAGCTGCCTTTGCAAGGCCAGGCTTTGAGTAGAGAAACAGAGGTTTAGGTGCAGGCCTGAGGGCTACCTTGTGAACCTAAGCAAATCACTCATCCTCTCTAAACTCTGATCCATAAAATGGGAAAAAGTGATATCCATCTCACCAATGGTTGTGACAATAGAAGACCTTAATCTGGAAATATGTTTATAGCCCAGTACCTGGTTAGACTGTGCTTAAATAGAGGTCGCTGTAATTTTTATTAAAGTCCTCTCTCTTTATTGCTCACTGTGTATCAAAGTGAACATCCGTAAAGTATTACAGACATTTCTGAGACAGCATCTTTATTTGTATTCAAGGTTTGGTTTGGGTCAATTTTTTCGCCCTTCCTATGGAATCACAAAAGATCTCTTACACACAAAGCTATCTTTTAAAATAAAAGAACAAAGCTGGAGGCTTCATACTACATGACTTCCAAATCTACTACAAAGCTATAATAAGAAAAGC